TGGCCGGCGTCAGCAGAGGCGAGGTCGTTTGTCCTCTTGAGGCGGCAAACACTTGCTGCTGCTGTTGTTGCTGTTGCTGTTGCTGTTGCTGTTGCTGCTGTTGGGGATGCTGATGAAGAGGATGGGGATGCTGTTGTTGGTGGTGGGGGGGAGGGGAAAGGGAGGGTCTTTCTGTGTCCGACTCCACGGAAACCGACGAGGTGGTGTGCATGCGGCAGAAGTGCCGTCTGCGGAAGCGCGATCTCGGCGGTTGGCTGTAGCCGTCGGCGAGGTCGACGTCGACGTCAACGGCGACGTCGACGGCGACGGCGACGGCGACGTGGTCGTGGCTCGAGTCCTCCGGCCGTGGCTGTGTCGGGCGATGCGACGGTTCAACAGCCTTCGGCCCAGCCGGTCGACCGCAGGTGCCGAGGTAGTGGGACATGCTGACAACCGGGCCGGACGGCGAGCGGCGAGACGGCGAGCTCGGAGGGTGAGGAGAGCGTTGATTGGACGGAATCGGCTCGTTTGCCTGGGCCGGACTCGTGGCAACTCGTCGGCCATTGGACCAGGCGCGCAGCCGAGACCGGCCGCACTCGAGCTCGACGCGAGTCTACGCCGCGCCTCGGCGCTTCGTCCTCTGCTCCACTGCCCTCTGGCGCCTCGACGTCGACGTCGACGTCGACGTCGACGGATGCGGCGGCGGAGGAGGAGGCGGCGGAGGCGGCGGCGGAGGCGGAGGTGACGGCGACGGCGACGGCGACGGCGAAGGCGACAGCGTCGGCGGCCGACCGACTGGCGGGGCGAAGCCAATGGCCGGGCGGACGACCGGCCGGCGAGGCATGTCGGCCGTGCAAACCCGCGACGGCGACGGCGACGGCTGGCGCCGGGACTCGAGCTCTGTCTGCCAGTCGAGCGTCGGAGCTCGCAGCCGCCACGCGTCACCCAGCCTCGGCCGCTCGCCCCCTCTCCGTCGGCGCAGCAGACGAGGCTGGTGCCGACGGCGACTCCGGTTTCTGTATCAGTTTGTCTTTCTGTTTCGACTGCGGTTGCAGTTGCAGTTGCAGTTGTGGTTGTGGTCGCGGTCGAGGTTGTGGTTTCGGTTTCGGTTTCGGTTTTGGGTGGGCCCGATGCGCCGATGCGAGAGACTGGCGGCCAGAAGACGACACTTGGGCGTGCCTAGGTCCAGTGGCGACGGTGTCGGCTCGGCCAGGTCCTGGCGACGGATGTGACCGAGGCAAGAATGGGAAATAGAAACGACGCCCG